ATATTTTGCCCAGTGCTGACTGTGATTCTATGCTTCCCTAGACCATTGCTACACATGACTCAGTTCCTGTTTGTACTGTAATTCAATTTGAGAGCTCACTGCCATCTATAATTCCAAAGAGCATTTTCAGCTGAAATCCTAAATTGAATTACAGATTCATATTGCATTGCTCACTATTTATTAATAATATTGTGCCTACAACATATCCTGTTCTTCATTACCACAGAAGGAACAGTACTGGTTCCTCTGTATGATCCAGAGCTATTTATTTCTCCAAATGTTAAGCTCCTGCATGTACAGAACCTACAGACATCTGTGTTTCTTTTGTAATAAGTACTTTTATCTAGCCAGAAATGCAGAAAAGGTTTCTCAGGACTATACTTGGATGTATCATATGCCTTCTATATCACAGAAAAATATTACCATAAGTATTTCTTTGCAACTGGAAGAATGCGAAGTATTATGGGATGAAGTCTCTGTGAACTTTGTGATACAGAGACTTCATACAGTGATATTCTTAATTGCTGGGCACACACCTTTCAGTCAGAAACGCCAACTCTGAGCCTCCAACAAGTCCAAGGTGTGATACCAACACACCATGGCTGACTGAGGTTTGTAACAGGAAATGTTGGGGAAACAAACACAGCTTGAACAAGCAATACTTCCTCCAAACAGACAGGAGCCCAGGTCCTCAGGACTGGTTCTTTCTGTCTTCTCAAAGGATAGTCAGAGGCAAACCCCAAATTATTAATTCATTTCTGCAGCCTAACATAAAGTTTTTAGTGAACAACAAAAACTGCTGGCAATTTCTTGGAATGTCAGGGATGAGTTCTTTGGATTCAAATGTATGACAGAAGACTGAACAATAATTACTTGCAAGGCCATAATGTTTGCAGTGAGGGGAGAGATGGGGAGTGACCTTGTTTGCATGTGGTCTGAGGAGAAGAGCTTGCTGTGTCAAACAAAACAACTCTTGGTGCTGCAGCATCCCAGGCATGAGGATGTTCTGCAGTTATTGACCCCAGGCACTAAAGAAGTGAAGAGTCTTTGCAGTCAGCTCAGGCATTTGGGATCAGGGCAGAAGTTGAAGGAAAGACTGGCAGGTCTTTGGCATACTCCCATCTTAGCATCTTACAGTTTGCTGCTATCTTCCCAGCAAAGGAGATTCCACACAGTAATCCCTGGGGAAGGTATATATTTATGATCAGATGGCCACCTTGCCAGAAAAACGGCTGCTTCAGGATAGCCAGCCAATGAGCCATGACACCAGGAGACTTCATTATCCCATTTGGGTATCTGTGGCAAGCAGTATTTAAAAACTGCGTTTTACATTAATACATCAACACTAATTTACCATTAATTTATTAATTTAAGAATAAAAAATAACCAGCAGTTTCCATTCAGGAGGGCTCCCATCTGCCCAGCAGTGAGGGTGCTCTGCCCTTGAGCCTCCCTTCAGCCCACCCCAGAACAAAGAGTGGAGCCATCCATGGTAGCACAGCCCACCTTCCCTTCCCCGGGCCGCACGCTGGGCTGGGCTGGGTTTTGGCCACCCCACCCTCAGCTCCCAGAGCAGGGCTGGGCTGGGCTGGGCAGCCTAAAGATGCCCCAGGGTCAGCCCCAGTGCCAGGGCCCAGCCCAGCCCCTCCAGCAGCCGGGGCTCCCTCTGTGTGCTGCTGAGCAAACCGCAGGGAAAAAGGAGGACTGAACATCTTTCTCAGATTATTTCCTGCCCTTGAAACGCTTTCCTTAATATGAGGATATGGTAAAGAGATCTTTGCCTGACTAAGATATCTGCTATTCTCTTCTTCCACTTCCTGACAGGAACAACGTTCTTTTAATCCCAGTTTGAACACTTAAACATATTTTATCCAAAAATTACTCCAAACTGTTGCAAAATAGAAATACAAGTGAAGCCAAACCAATCCAATCTTTTCTTCTTCTCTCTAGAAGTCACAGTGATGACACACTTAAGAAGCAGGGCCTTTGCTTGCCTGTGGCTGGCCTCCTGGGCTTCAGGTCACATCTGCTCTGGGTTTCCGGGAGAATTAAGCAAGACTAAATGAGGTCAGCTTTCTCTGGAACAGAAACTCTCAGGGGTTAAACATGAAGTATGTGGTTTAGCATCCTGTCTGGAACAGATTTCTGTTAGTTTTCCAGGTCTCAGGAGCAGAGCTAACAGTTGGAGACAGCTATCCGTAGGTACACCTGGCTGTGAGCTGAGCTATGTGCCCACACCCCCCGAGGCTGCAGCACAGCTCCTGCTGTGTGTGCTATGTGCTGTGCCCCTGTCTGAGGACACAGGGCAGCCACCCAGGGAACACAGCAAGGTGGCATTAGTGCTGTCCCTGGACATTCCCTGCACATGGGTCTTTCTGGAGCACAGGAGGAAGAAAAAGGGTGAAAACAGGCAGCAGAAAGCCTGCACCAGTCCTGAACATTTTTTACATTGCCCCTGTTACTTTTTCCTTGCCAAGCTTTTATCTTGGTTTTTGTGCAATAAAATCATGTTAATAAAACTGTGAATGAATAGAAAGGCCCTAAGTCAATATTTGCACTTAGAAAAGACTGGTTAGAACAGCTTAGGAATTGATCCTGATTTATTAAAGCACCTGTTCACCCAGGGAACATTTTAGCAGCAATCAATATGTAATTAAATCTTCATTGATGTTTTACAATTGTTTTGTTTCCCAGCAATTACAGTGATAGAATCAGCTTCCCCTGGTTGTTCCTCTTTCCAGCTTTACTACTGATCTCCTGTGAGCATTCTGGCAACTCACTTTACATTTCCCAGGCTGTTATTAATAAATTGGGATCACAATCACAGTGAAACAGCTCTAATCCACACCCACTGTGCTAAGCACAGGCCAAGAAGAAAAGCCAACCTCTGACCTGCGTAGCGTGCTAACAATAACAACAACAGGAGCTCTGGGGCAATATAAACACAAATGTTTTAGTGAAAGCATCACACAACTCTGAACTAAAATACACTACAAGAGCTGAGCTTTCATTAGGCTTTCCTAGTCAGACTTTAGGTCCCTCAAAGCTGGGATTGCTTTTCACTTGCTGCCTGTCCAGCTCCAGGAAACAGAGATGTTGTGGGTGCAGCCGGGGAAGCCACTCCTGTTCCCTGCTCAGAAAGGCACAAATTCCCATTTGGGCTTTCCAAAGTAATACCCCAAACACACCAGAACGGGTCATGCTTTCAGTGACGCCTCCTGGCAGGGCTCTGGCCGGAGGAGCGCCTCGCTGCAGAGCCCGTGCCGTGCCGAGGCCTGCGGCCTGAGAGCCCCGGCGCGGCTGCCAGGGAGCGCAGCCCTGCGAGCCCGGCTCTGCGGCGGCTGCGGGAGAGCGAACGGGGAGGGGAAATCCCGCCCGCTCCTCCTGGCCCCCGCAGAGGCCGTGCCTGGGCTGCTCCGGGATGCTCGGGAATGCTCGGGGTGCCCCGGGATGCCCGGGAATGCTCGGGATACCCGGTGGTGCCGCCGCCGGGTTTGCGCAGGCGGTCCCCAGCAAGAGGGCGGTGTAAGCGTGGCTTTCGTCGCGGCCGCAGCCCCCGCACCGCACTCACAGGACTGAACAGACTCAAAAAAAGCCAAAACGAAACGGGGAAGCCTGATCATCAGTGTCAATTAGAATAAGTGACTGTGAAAAACCGAGTGGGAGCAGCACAAAGGACATGTGAGTCCCCATCCCTTGGTGCACACAGCTGGCCCATGTGCCTCAAAAAGTGAGAGAAGAATCCCCAACCTTGGTGCTCAGCCAGAGACCAGGCAAGAAACTGGGATACCACTGAAAAAACAAGCACTTAAAGGGGCGAGGACTGAAACCTCCCCTTCTCCGTGTTCACTTGAGGTGTGTTGATACCCTGACCCCAGGACCCTTGTCTGTGTCCTGAACTCACCAAGAGCTTTTGAACTTGCCACTCTCATGTCACCGACTCCTGCTAATCTCAGCAGTGTGAGGGAGGGAGCACCCCTCAGCCAAAAAGTTCACCCACTGGATCAGAAAAGCTCCTTTACTGAATGCCTTTTTGTAACTACACATTTAAAGGATTGCTTTAGGTGTGGAGAACCAGTGGTCAAGCAGACCCAAACTTCTCAGACTGTTCTCTCTGTATCACTGTCCACATCTGGGGCTTCACTCAGACCCCTGGTGGTGCAGTCATGGGGGTTGGAGGCAATTTTGGAGGGAGTCCAGTGACTGCTGAGAAGTTGCTGTGACACTAGAAGTAGAAACAGGTCTGCCTCTGCTCCCATGGGTATCCTGTATTCACCAAAACTAAATCATCCATGCCAGTTTTGATTCCCCCATGGTCTGACATTGACATGGGGACTTGAACTTGCTGCTCTTCCCCAACAGAGAAGCAAGAAGGAAATTAGGCACACAGCCTTCAACTTTCACATGCTTGCAGCAGCCAACTTGGCTCTGCCATTCACTGCTCCTTCGGGAGCTCCCTGTGAAGTTATCTAGATAAGGCTGCTAAACTACTGCCTCTGGCACTAAATTCTCTGTTCTGACCCATGTCCTAAATCCTCATTAATATCTGGGACTCCTTCCAGACTCATCCTTCAAGCATCCAGCAGCCCTGCTCTACCAGCTGGTCCTGGTGAAATCAGCATGGCTTCAGCCCAAGCTTTGTAGGGTTGTTCAGACTTGTGAAACAGCTATAGAGGATTTAGAAGAATCTTTAATTCCATGTCAAAGTGCCATCCTTCACCATGGGTTAAAATACAAGGAAAACTTCAAAGAAGAAAATGGAAACAAGAAATTAACATTCCCCCTTGTGTTTGAAAAGCTGCTTGGGAAGTGGATAGCATTCAGTGTGTAATGGGCATCCACATCCCTCAGAGAGCTTTGGATATCTCAGCCATTAATTTGATCTTCTTTTCACCCCCAGTTGGATCAATGGAAAGATTTTCTACAAGTACGTTTTCAGACCCTTGTTCAGTGTTAATCTTCTCTCTGTATCCTTTTCAACATCTTCCTCCTAGAGTCTGTCAGTCACTGCCACAGAGATTCATCAAGGCTGTCTTGTAATCGCCGCTGGTATCCTCCTGACAGGAGAAAACATTAAAATATAGGTGAGCAGAGAAGTTCCTCTGCACGCTCCAAGTGCTGACGGTGTCAGTCTGTGGAATATGCCCACACAGGAAAAGGGCTTTGGAAAGAGCAAGTCAGAGCTCAGCAGAGTTGCTGCCAGCTGACACACCATCAAAAGCGAACGGAGAAATGGGGCTTGTAGCTACCACCTGAAATAACATTCATCGAGTCCAATTTTTTCCTTTGGAATGCAGGTGAGCAATTGATCAAGGTTCTGTCCCACAAAGCAGCACAAAGTCAGCACAAATGACAGCAAGAAAACCTGTTGTGTTCAGATTTTTTGTCCCTGGGTATTTATGTAGCACCTCTTCCCTACAGGAAGGGAAAAGGTAGTTTTATAGTTATCCCTGACACATGGCATTTTTTAAAAAGCCAAAAATGTGGTCATTTTGGTCTAGAAGCACTACACAAAACATTCACTCGGTAAAGAAAATTTCCTCCTTTGAATGTTTTGTGGTGACAGGTGTAAAGCTAGTTCCACTTCTCAGAAGGAATGAATGTTCTGTACAGACCCTTGAAGGCTGATCATTAATCAACATGACAGACACTGACAGTGTCAATTATAAGAAGGGCCCTTCATTACCAAGACCCAGACTTCCCATAGGGACTGCTAAGGACGGGGCTTTTGTGCCATTTGCACAGGGGCAGAGGAATGTCCCAAAGTCCTGGGGACAAATGGTAAAAAAACAGCACTTCAGCACTAACAGGGGAGGGACATTCATTCAGAGCTGAAACTCAAATGCTACAATAAGCCTTGATAAGGTTCAGTTTCTGAACCTATCTCATCACAGTGTAGACCAGGCTTTCACCTGGGATAAGGCAGCAAAAAATCCGTCAAACAACAGAAAAGGAAAAGGAAAAGGAACAAAATACCCCAGCATAATTTTGACACATATGGATGGCACTGGCTTGAGGTAATTAAGGATGGCAGAGAGAGAGAGGAGAAAATGGCCCAGCAGTGTGGGATAGGTATAACAGGAATGATTCATTTAATTTAGATTCATCTAGAACAGTCATGCAGTGCATGGAAACAGAGACTGGTCCATGAAAATCCTAGTGCAGTGTCTCCTTTGTCCAAGTCCTTACAGAGGGCATGTGGTCTGACTCACCTTTCAGACACAGGTGTCTCTCAAGGACATGGCTGTTAACAGGCCTAGTGAAGGAGAGCCATGACCACAGCAGATTTGAAATTGTTACTGCTGACAACCATGGAAGCATCCCACAGTGCTGGAGAGATTAGGAATACATGCAACAGCTGAGAACATCATATCAAGATTCTGCTTACCAAAATCATACTGGAGAGAGACTTTCCTGCAATGCGCTTGAATTCAGGTTTGATAAGATTTAGGTCAACTTCACTTCGAGAAACAAGCACCCTTATCAGAGTCCCATCATCGGTGCCAGCCCCCTGGAACAACAGATACAGCAGTCTGTGATGCTACTGGCTGTTCAAGGGATAAGTTGGGCAAACTAGTCCAGGGCACGAGGAGTCAGCTTTCAAACACCACTTGGCACCTCTCCTGTGGAACATCTGCATCTCTTTCTGGAGGGCCCGCCCTCACACCCCTCCCAGGGGCCACTGCCAACACCACAAGCCCACCATGGCTTGTGCACAAGTTTTGCACATGTCAAATGCAAAAGCAAACATGCTAGAGAGGTGGGAGCTGGCACTGAATACAGACTGCCCCTCTGCAGAATCACCCAGGCAGCGCTTGGCTTCAGCCAATATTGTTTAATCACTCACAGGAAAATTAAGATCACACTGCTAACAAAACTGTTATCTCAGCTTTCCAGAAGGTTTGGAGAGCTGACATCTTGTACATACCAGTTAAGTATTACAGGGCACAATCTGCAAACACTATGTGTCCCCATTTGAAAGTCTCATTTTATACTGCCGTTGAGAGAATCGCTTCCTAAAAAAATATACTGTGTTCCAGTCTATTTAAATGGAAGGCAAGTCTTCCCCATAAACAACCTCCCAGAAAAGCCTCTTTTGCCTGTGTTCCAGAAAGTGGGGCTGGGCTCCCTGCAGACTCTTAAGCCAGAAAAGCCAGACTCCCTTGTTATCTTGAATTTAAAGGGTACTGTTCTACTCAAGGTGTTTGAAAGGATTCTGCTATTGCTTGCAACAATTGTACCAAACCTGCTGAATTTCACCAAAACCTTGGCTCTTCTAGTTTGAATTGGTGGAAGCCAGGTCACAAGTTAAGTCTGTATGAAAACCAGTGTGTTGCAATGAAGAGTCTTACCTTTAAAGCATTGTACAGCCTCTCTGCAAAGTAGCAACGGATGTTCCTGGTGCATTTCACTAGGCATACAAAAAAGCTCAGTAAGAATCAATGGTAATTCCAGCCCAGGGCAGGAGGTGACTGAGATCCTTCATGCTTCCCATTAATTCAGTGTGCTCCTGGAATCTGAGTTTATCTTATCCAGGAACTACCCCTTACTTCATACCAGATACCTTTGTAAAGCACATCCATCTAATATAAGTCAACTACTGCAGAAGAAAAGGCAGCAGACTCTGACAAAGCAAAGAAAAGCTCATTACTTACCAATAGCCAGCATGGCATCCTCAAGTGAACCACGAGTTTCACTCTTGATAGAGTCCTCTATGCTCTTACCAGCCAGTTTCTGGTATTCTTCAAACACTGTTTGAAACAAAAAGAACTTATATTTTTTACCAAGTAACCCTCAAGGCCTTTTGTGCCCAATATTTACAGGCATTACTTGTGTGGCAATATGAACACACAGATCCTGCAAAAGCAATGGCCACATTTGCACCAGCTTCAGTCAACATCAAAAATCAGCCACAAAGATGGATGTTAACATTTACCAAAAGCCAAAGCATTCGTGGTTCCTAATTCCCTGTGCAGTTCACAGCCAATGGACTTTAAAATTATGACAACACCATTTGGGGAAACTTATTATTTCAACCACAATTTAAAATTAAAACAACTGAGAAAAGATGAGCAAAATACAGGTGCAGATTCCAAGATATTGGAGTTCCTACAGTAGCAAACGCTCAGCAACAGGGTCATTGCTTGCCTTATACACTTTGGATACTCCAAGGCTCAGAAACACTGATATCTGTTTCTGCTCCTAGCTTTCTAGGACTAACAAAGAAGGAAAACTGCTATGTAATGCCATAGACATCTTAAGAAACTTTGCTCAGCACCTAAGATCATCAACCTTCAAGACACTTTAGGGAAATGGAATATAGAATAGACAGATGGATACAAACTTCTCAACTCAAACTACTCTTTCCATTAAAAACAAATTTAAAAAGCTGCAATAATTACAGTCAGACCTTAAAGACAAATAGGTACAGAAGAAATTGCTTAGTGCCACAGTAGGTTCAAAAGACTGATTGCATCATCACAACAAGATGAAATTCAATTCTTAAAGACAGATACAGACAAATACTAAAGAGACCACCTATTTTTGTTTGTCTTGTTTATTTTTTAAGGGACCTTGAGAGATTGAATTTGAAACACAAGGGGGAGCTGGCTTCCAGGGCATAGAAACAGCAGCAGAGGACCTCAGCTTAGAAAAAGTTCAGGCATATCTAGTTTATCTTTGGCTAAATTTATCAGTTTTGGGTCCACCTGATTCACACAGTACTTGATATGCTTAGATTCAGCCAACATAACAAAATCTGTTATGCCTCAAAAGCACAGAGAAGACAATGTTTGGTCTCTGCTGCATGGACAGTGGGAAGCTGAGGTCTCAGCTGGAGCAGGGCTTGTGTCTTCCCTCCCAGCAGCCTCTGATGCCCTCAAAAGGACCTGGGGCAGAAATGCAGGCTGCACCCTGTGACTCTCCAGCACAGAATAACCAGCTACCTTTTCAGTGATGTTTTTTTAACCCCAGAGGAACCCACATCCAAGGGGACATGTCTGTTCACCACACACTCCTACTTAATTAGGATAGTACTCAGTCACTCACTTCTTGAATTTATAAAAACAACTAGCCAGTTATCACCACTGTATAAGGGCTCCTGGAAGAGCCAACTGATTTTCAGTAGAACTAAATCTTCATAATTTTTCACAAAATCTGCTTGCAGCTTTTGGTCACTGGGTGACCAGGAATTAGAAAACAGGCTCAGGTACTTATTTCTGACCACCCATGTCTCTCATTTATAGCCCCACCTCCTCTTCTTGCTTAGGGTGATTTGTGATTTTGGAGGCTTGGGGGTGTAGTGATGGTAATGTGGGCTCTGCTCCATACCTTTCATGAGGTGTGTGGCACTCCTTTTGCACAAGATGGTGATGAACTGGATCTCATCAGTGCCCCGTATCTTCTCTCCAGCAGCATAGAGAGCCTGGAATTAGCACACAGTTATTAGTGAGCTGTTCTGTGTGTGCAGCTGCTAAAGGAACAGAGTTTGGCTGAAGGCATGGCTGGGGTAAAGGGAGTAACCCAAACCACCGTGTCAACCAGAGTCTAGAAGGGCTGGTTATGAAAACCTTTCTGTCTTCCTGACAAATGGAACATCCACTATCTCCATCCTTTCTACCCCTTCTGCAGCAGCTGGAACAGCCAACAATACACTTGAGGTTTCCTCCCTTTTCTCTCCTCTTCCATTCCACCATAGCTATATCAAAAGCAGATGAGCCAAAGCCCAGGCCTCATCACCCCTCTTTGGAATGGCAGAGCTCAGCAATGCAGGCAAAATTGAAAAAAACCCAAGTTACTTAAAGATAACCCCACCCCAAATTATTGTGACTCCAACCCTCTGCTGACACTGAAGCACTCTGAAGTTCAAGAAGGTGGGAATGCAGGCATATCAGTGATCTCAGGTATTTGAGAGTACCTCTGCATCCTGAAGAGCCAGGGCTGTGTCCACATAGAGGGTGGCATTGTCCCTCTCACCCTATGAGCAGAAAAAGAAGGGTAACAATTATGTCTCATGACGATTCTTCCATAGATAAGGATCAGAGCACTCATTCTGATCAAAGACCAATTATCCTCTCAGTTAACTATTTCTGGAGAGTACTCAAGCACTAATATTTCAGACAGCACGAGTTCCAGCTCCTTCACTGAAAGGCACTGAAGTCAGTCATATGAAGCAGAGTAAAAAATTGCTCAGTTATTCTGCTACTAGGCAGGAAAATTCCAAAAATGTGGTAGGGTAAATGCACTCAGGCACTGAGGGCACAGGACCTGGAAAAGTGGTGAATCCTAGTGGAGTGGCACTGTTTTTTAAGACCCTTGCAGAGTACAGTGGCTTTACACACATGTGAAAGTGAGGTGTCTCTGCAGGAGAGCTGGCTGTAAGTTCCCAGCTCTCTTACTGCTGCTGAGGGAGAGAGATTTCCCTGCTTCAGTCACATCACAGCTGAAATGGATCCAGTCCAAGTGACATGGTTGTCTCTGCAGTTTATCTGGTGATCATGACTGTACTGGTTCTCCCATTGCATGTCTACTCCAAAAAAGAAGAGAGAAATGTGAAGACCTTTATACCCTCATTTCTCTTCTCAAGCATTACCTGAAGAAGGCAAACCAGAATCTGCTCTAAGTAGCCGCTCGTTTCTGATTTTATGTCTTGCTCCAGATCAGAACCGTATGCTACCCAAGGGAAAGAGAAGGACAAGGGAAGGATTTGTTATTTATTTAGGTGATACAGTCAAGATATTACCAGTAACCCAAGCCCACACAATAGCCTGAGCAAGAGGGTCATCAAGGAAAAAAACAGGGCTGAGAGCAGCTCACACCCTGTGTGATGCCCAGGTCAGCATTTGCATCCAGCTGAGTCACTAGCTCCCCTGATGTCCAAGAAATAAACCCAGAGCTAATTTTAAAGGTATAACTGAAGGGATGAACAAAATAAAATATTTACAAATTGATAAATTCCCAGCTATTCAATGGGGAGAAAAGCCAAGTGCACAGCTATAGTTTTGTCTATGTTCCCACAGTACTCTGTACCCAAACTGAACCAAATTCATAATTTGCTGACCCTTGGCTGCAGCTGGATGAAGACCTAGAAAGGGATTTTCAAATTCTCCCAGCATAGCCATGTTCTGTTTGCCAGCTGAAAGCAGAGTTTATTGCTTTAAGAGTTAAATGCTTTTAGAAAAGCCATTTTCCTGCTGACAGTGCTAGCTGATAATGCCTGCCTGTTGAGCTCTGACCACAGAAATCTGAGCCCCAGGCACTTACCTTGGGCTCAGGCACTTACCTTCTTTGTACGCCTTGATAATCTCCTTGATCTGCGCTTTTGTCCGAGATGCCAGGATCTCTATGATAACACTTTCCCTTGTTCCCACACCCTATAATAGAAAACACAGTGGAGAAATAAAGGTGGAGACAGGCATTTAGTCATGGAAATGATTTACTGCTAGAGAAGTATGGTGAAGGGAAGAGTTGGATGGCAGCAAAGTCAGGATGTGTGCTGAGCTGTAAGAAAGCATCGTGATGAAAGCTGGAGACACAAAACACATTTGGGTTGAACACTGTTTCTTTTACCAAGGTGCCTGATTTGTAAAGGATGCTTTTATATAACCCTACATTTTCTCAGTGCTTTTCTGGAGTCAGATCTTTGACAATAGACAGCATTAAAGGAATGCAGGGGGACCAATGTAGTCAGTTCATCTTTATACCATTTTAACAGGTCACTCTGCATCTGAAACTTGTAAAGATACATTATCAATAGGTAGGGTCCCATCCGACCCCAGCCTAGCCCTTGCACCACCACTCCTTGATTCCTTAAAGGTTTCATGGCTCAGCTGGGGCATCAGGGCAGCAGGTTTGGGTGTGAATTCAGTCTTGTTGTTGCCTTCCTAGGCTCTATGAGTCATGTATGTACAGAAACTTTCTTACATCCATAAGTATTTAAGCAGCATTTCCCCCCAGAATATTAATAGTACAATTAAGTATTTCTCAAAGGCTACTGCTAATAACAAACTTAACCACGTAACAGTCCAGTTATTAACACTTGCACAAGTGCAGGAAATTAGCACTGTATTTGTGCTACTACTTAAATATCAGCATGCAATTTCCTTACCTTCATGGCATCATACAGCTCCTTGGCATCATACTTGAATGGGGGGTACATGAGAGCTACAATGAGCCTCTCAAAGTTGCCACTCAGTTCAGACTTCAGGCTTTCAATCAGATCCTGTCAAATGTGCATCATCACATGGTTACATAAACAGACCCACAGGATCATTCTGCTGCACATGCTGCTTCCATCCCCATGGCCCCAGTAATGAAGGTGAATGACAGCATTGCTGATTCATTAAAAAAGGTCCTGAGACTGAAAAAGGCACCTAACTCCAAAATGGGGTTTGTCTAGATGTTTATACATTCCCTGTTTTCTTGATATTTGGGCTTTCTCAATAATTAATCCTGCAGCAAATCTTGCTCCACCCTGCCTAACTCACTGAGCAGAGCCAGGTAGCTGAAGGCCTTGCACTGAGCAAGGGTGTAGCTTCAGAGAGATTCCCAAAACTGCATCTAAACTTGCACCCAGGACATCTGCAGAATCAGGACTGCAGTCTGCTTGAAGATACACTTCAAACTTCCCTCTGACTATAATGCAGGTTTTCCTCCCTCTGTTGTATGACTCTCTCTGTTTTAGTGGGATGCAAGGGCTCTATTTATTCATTGTTCCATACCCACCACCCCCATATTTGCTTCCCTTTCTTAGGCTTTGTATGGCAGTCTCCTTTCCAGGAAGGCTCACAGTAGGGCTGAAGGTATACAGTCTGCTGGTGAAAAGATTTTCCCAATAAAAGTAACATTTTCCCAATAAAAGTAAGATTTTGTCAAAGAAACAAAGAGAGACAAAGGAAAACATAGTTGTCGATAACCACAGAATTTCCAAACAAGCATAATTAAATAAGTATTGAAATTGAACTTTTTTTGACATTTAAAAAGGCCTGAAACAAAGCAATATTTTACTCAACATGTCACTTAGATGGGTATCAATTTTTGTTACAGCTTCAAATCAATAAGAAGCTTCACTTCAAATTAAGACTGATTTTAAAAAAGTATTTCTGGTCAAAATGCATTTTTTAAAACTTGAATCTTTAGGAGAAAAACATTTTTTCCTGGTCAAACATTAATTTTATACATTCATCACAGGCCTTATAAATAGGTATTAGTCTACTTATTTGCAGAAGACCTGCATATGGTTTGCATCATGCTTTCAGAAAGAAGTGTACGCCCATTTACTACATCCTGCATGCAGTAAACCAGTGATTGAAATGGCATTGTTTTGGAAGAACCTTTCCAAACTGTGCTTTGAAGGATTTGGCAATCTCTTGACGCTGCAGATTGCTCCTCTTGGTTAGGACATCAATTATAGCTTGTTCATCAGTCCCTGTGGAAAGCAACAATAAATCATAAATACAGTGCACAGAATAAGCTGGGACTGGTCCAAAATCCCAATCTGAATATTTAGACACCCTTGTCTGGTTCACTGCCTCTGTGTAGAAGTTTAAGTACATACCGAGGAAACTTTAATATTAGTTTTTCACAGTAAAAAAGAGGTGATATCTCTGGATGCAAATTTTCTAAGGAATTGATTTCAACTTAGCAATTATAAGAACATAGAATTTACATATGTGGTTGGAGTCAACTCACCCAGCCCTTTCATGGCGTTGTACAGAGTCTGAGCATCAGGTGCAGCATTAAAATTTAAAGTACCTGCCACAGACTTGCCCTCTGCTTCACTCTGAAAGAAGAAGAAAAGTACACGACTTTCCACCACTGCTTTTCATCAGCTGGAGAAAAAGCATTTGGAAAGTACATTAATGATATTTATTGCCTCCACAGGGTGAAGTCACAGAAAATAGGAGAGATTGGCCAGAAGTTTCTCAGCAGAGCAAAAAGAGAACACAAGTTTCTCTCCAAAGAGAACACAAGTTTCCTGCTCCCACCTGCCTGTACCAGCCTTTGCTGGCAGGAACATGAAGTGCAAAGCATGGCTGACAGTGCTGCAAGCATTGTGAGGTCAGGCAGAGTAGCAGAAAAGCACAGACTCTAATAGACTGGACTTTCCTATTCACCCCTTAATTACAGTCCTTCACAGCATGGATGCTATTGTACCATACTGCATTTCTCAGTGGGTTGGTGCAGGATAGCTTTTAGATAGCTTTTTGAATTCCTGAAATTGTCTTGTTCTCACAGACCATTTTCTTCAGCAGCTGCTGCTGCACTTCTGCACAGCTAGTTTCAAGAAGGGAGCATCTCCACTGGAAGGATTTGGGGCAAAAGACTACTTTGAAGGAAGAGATCCATCTGGAGGAGTGCAGGTTTGGTGTTCTTCCCTGTACCAAGAATTAGATACACCTACACCAGAATCCTCCTAACAAACCCCTGAGGTGCTGACAGTACAGGCCCAGGGCATAAAAGACACACTGAGGCTTATTTTAGTCACCACAAGGTAGTAGGGCCATCAACCAGAACCCAGGCAAAATTTCACAAAGCTGGTAGTCAAAGAACTGGCTTGAATATATTGTCACATCTATCACAAGCTGGTCCTGTCAACAGGGGGAGTATTTGGGTGGGTAGGCATGAAGAGTCATCATCACTTAATTACAATAATAAACACAATTTTCTCCTTCCCAGAAGCAAGGATATCTAAGTTGGATACTACTATATTCTCATAAATTTGCTTTTAGAGGCAGGGTTAATATTAAACTAATGGTATCAGTATGACCTGATAAATATTTTAATGGGGATGGCTACACAGTGAGATAAAAATCAGAGATTATGGATGAGAAGGAAGCATTAGGGTTGTCCCACCTGACTAACATAACATGGACCACCAAGTGCTGCCCATCAGCCTCCTGCTATGATGCAAATCCCTTCTGCTCTTACTTCCCATGTGAAAGAGAACCAGTGGGTACAGCTGGCACCTTTGCACGGAGCAGTGACAATGAGGAGTATTGAGAGAGGCAGCATGTTCAGCAATCAGCAAGACTTGGAAAAGTTTGCTTTACAGCCAGCACAGAGACACTCCTGCACCACCACACCTTGCTCCCAGCAGAAAGAGCAGCTGTGAAGCAAATGGTGTCAACAGGAAACTTGACAAGAGATGCAGCTTTGAATCCCAATGAGCAGCGAGTATAAGGCTGAGGAGAAGCTGTCACTGCAGAAAACAGCAGTGACAGAGCAGGGGGCATTGCCACCTCCAACAGTTTGTCATTGGCCAAGAAGAATTTGAGCTGGGAGGACCATTTCAAGTGCTCCTTTTCTAGCCCTCTGCCAAGATGGCCAGCACCACCACAGCTTCCCTGGGCAGGGGGTTAGACTCATCCATCTGAGTCTGCTTTGAAAAGGATGCCAGTCCTCTCCAGCTGCATGCAAGGGCCCTGTGAAGAAACCCCCAAACATTCTGGACCCATGCCTGGTGACTCAGTGAAAGAGGGAGTACAAAGCTGAGCTTTCATTTGGAGGCAGTGGAAACAAATTAAACAATGATCTTTTTTGGTACGAATTCCGATAAAGAGTTACGGCCCTTCCTGCTGAGTAGCACATTTGTGACTCACTCCTGCACCTCATTCTCTGTGCACATAGCTGTTGCAGCACAAGTACAATTGCACCAGCTTTTCAGAGAATCCCTGTTCACTTTGGTCCTGTTTCCCTGCTGAATTAATCCTACAACTCCCTAAGTGAAACTACTCAAGGCGTTTGTGCTCATGTAAATATAAATAATTGGCATGAAAGCAGCAGAAGCAGTGTACCTTACAGCTGATGCTGTGAAAAGTTTTACCTATAAATGAAAGGAAGAAGGAATAAAAGTTTTACTACCAAAATATTTTCAAACCTAAATGATAGACTTTTTTTAAAAAGCTGGAATCTGGGGATGGGTTGGGTTACTGTTTGCATTTTGTTCAGTCAATATTTTCTGAGAAAGTTTCACATTTTTTCATTCCTTTTGCTTTTGAACTGTATTTTTTAATGAAGGGTTTAGAAAACCAAAGTTTTCCCCAATCCTTCTTCGGACCTCTCATTTTCTTCTCATGCCTCCACCCCCTACAATACCAACTGGTACTGGATCACTGGAGTTTAAGGGCTTTTCTCCTTCTTTTCTCGCTCTAATTTACAAATTATTTCCAGCTTGGGGGTAGCAGAGAATAGATCATCCAAAAGGAAAAAAAATGAAATGAGAACTACTCCAAGCTCAAGATAAACATCTATTTTATTATACCAAACTTCCGAAGGAAATAGAGAGGCAGAGAAAACTCAGAAGGAAGATTACAATTTGAATCTTTCTGGGGAAAAAAATATTTTGAGACGTGGGAGTAAACCTGGCCTCCCACAGAGGCTGATGGGGGAGCTGGCACATCACCAGGGCTACCTGCTGCCTGGTCTGAGCCAGACCCCAGGTGCTGCCTCAGCACAGCCCATGAGCTTCTCCCCATCCTGCCACATTCCTCTCAGAGCCACAAGCATTTACAAGAGAACATACACAGCATTTCTGGCTCCTGGCAAAGAGACAGGCTGCTCAAGACACATTATTGTTGCAATATTAAAAACCCACTGAAGATAGACATTGTGGCTTGACCATATCTTCCTCTGTGACCACAGCTTGCCAGCACAACAGGGGACCAAAAATGGGGACAGGCCACCATGCTGAACTCACTGCCACAGGACAAGGAGCGGGGAAGGAGCCCACAGCTTCAGCTGTGTAACTTTGCTGTTGCATGGTAGCATCTCTCCATGAACACAGAGACACAAACACCCCCTGCACCTCTCTCAACTAAGGGTACAGATAGGATCTGCTCCTCCTCCTACAGCCAGCAGTCATATCAACACCCTCCATCAATGTTTTTGAAGTACTGAATGCTATTTTACAGCCAGAAAACAGTAAAAAGGTCTTGCTGATTTTTAAAGGAAACTGTTCATTCCCACACAGTGCCTGATACAACTTATAAGTTACCTTATTACAGTGCCAAAAACGCTCAGAGTATCAGTAAATCCTCTACTTACCCAGGCCTTCCACCATGCCATTGTGGTCTCAGTAGTGTTACCTGGCTCTGTTGGTGAAGAAAACCACACATATCACACCTCAGAGTTTGGGAATCTGAGATTTGAAGGGAGGCATAGGGAGGAGAGGAAGAAACAAAAGCTCTTTTCAATAAACTCACCACAAGAAAAATGGAATAACTGTACTCCTCTGGAGGCTCGTTCCCTCTGGAAGCCGCAGAATGTAACTGGTCTCTCGGGCACACGCAGGTATAAAGCATCCTTATCTACAAATTCCACAGGGCAACACCCTCCCACATGGCTCAACCTGTTTTTTCACATATGATCTCACAGGGAGAGTTCAAGTTGCTTAATAAATGAGGCTTCCCTTGTGAGGAGACCTAAATTCAACCTTGTTGACTCATTGTAATTTTTCCACTTCTTCTCCCAATACACGCCCTTCCCTGCTAACATTTTGGCCTCTGGCACAGATACAACATACAAATTACAACCAGGTAATTTCTCAGCATAAAAGAGACTAGATGAATTCAGCTATAACTGAACAAGCCACTCACTATTACAGACTCTTTCTACCTCTGCTGATCTGGAACACTGCCAAACAGGACTCTAGAAACATAACATACCTTCCTCTACCTCCCTTCAAAAACTTATTTAAAAAAACTCAAAGCCAAACAGCCTAAAAATTTCCAAACCAAACAAACCACATACCCAGCCAAACTCCACATCATCCATGTCCTACACCTTACAGTGGAGCTGCTTAAAGCATCAGATTGTACAGACACTTAGGAGGTCCCAAATCCCACACCTAGACTTCCACAGCATGAGTCACAAACATTCTCTAGGGTAACGTGGGACCAACACATCTAAGGCTAACAAGTTTGAGTAATGACTACCCCAGCTAAGTGTCATAGGGCTTGCAGTAGCTGCTGTGACATGTTAAGGTTTAGGAGCTGAGTGCAAAACTTCTCTTTTTTCAAAAGAAAAAGAACTGAGTTGAACAGCTTCTCATACTTATATTTGGTGAAATGTTTCTATGAAATCATCTGAAATACCTTATGGTTGTAGCAATATTTTCCTGTCTAGACTTTTGTCAGAATCTCCCCATGCCGGCATTTATTTATTTATTTGCAGTGGAAAGCTGCCTTGCTGGAAACATTCCCACCAGCTGTATCTTAACACTTGCTATATAGGAGCTTTGTGCCCTCCACAGTTACAGGCCCACATGGGATGCTGGGTAAACATCAAGCTATGGGCCTCTCTTATTTCCCTCCCACACACTATTGCACTTAACTCAGCAAGGCCCCTGATGGCCTGGGAAGTTGCCCTGGCTGTTCCCAAGAGAATGAGCTGGGCCAGCCTCCAACACATCCATCATTGGCGGGGGCAAGTTGGGAAGGAGGAACAGCATCGCCCTTGGTACAACAAACATGCTGATGAGTCTGCACTGGCTTTGTTCCCACTCACATGTGAGAGGCAGGATGATCAACAGCACACTGCAAGGAGAGCTCATGAGTGGTCCTTCAGTCCTCCTCTTCCCGGGGTGGCAAAGTGCCTTTGCACGCAGGGTGCATCTGCTTCTTCTGGATGCCAGTATCTGCTCCCTACACGCACATTTCCCTCTGTTGGGATAGAATTGGTCAGCTTGCCATGGAGATTAGCTTTCTTGAGGACTCCAAGGACAAAGAAGCCCTTCTAGGCAGAAAATCACAGAGTTACAGCAAGCAGCCATAGGGCACAGAGGGCAGGAGAGACCAAACCAGACAGCAAATGGGAAAAAGTCTGAGGGCTCATTCTTCCCATCATAAACTAAAAAGGCTGTGAAGGGACAAACCAGGGGATTTTAATGCATAGAAACACTGGCCAGGTTTTAATCAATATGGACAGGCTAGGAAAGGTCCGGAGAACCTGAAATGTGCTGCATGACCCAGAGCAAGGCTGCACAGACTTAACATAGACCAGAGCAGTTGGCACTCGCAGGCTAGTGGAGCAGAGGGCAGACCAGTGCCCCTTTTGCTTGTGCAAATATAGTTACCTTCAGCAGCTGTAAATATGAACAGATTTGTCTTCATTGCAGTTGTTGTCCCCCCTCAGCACTTGTGCTCTGTGAGAGAGCTTATCTGTGGTTCATGGACTTTACTGCTGTGTACCAGAGACACAACAGCTGTTACAGCACCAGCAAGCAATGCAAGGCACAGCCTCACACATAGCTCAGTTATTACCCTCAGGAACATGCAGCTCTTTAGAAAAGGGGCAGAAAATGATGCATGGACTCTCCCAAGCTCAGCCTTCTCACCCTGGCATTGCCCCCCAGCCCAAGGGCCATACCTGCATTTCAGGTACTACTCTGTTTTGGAAAATGAACCCCAAATGCACAAACCAGACTGTCCAGAAACTCCGCTCAACATAGTATTAAGGTGGTTAGAATTTGTCTCAGACAGTGATTGTGTGTGCTTGCACTGCAGTGCACTGTGGTACCCCACAAAATGCAGCCTGTCTCTGATCTGTCTGCAGGAGGAGTGCCTGGGCAGTGGGTCAGTCACACCATGGCTGCAGACACCCACGGTGTGCCAGTACAGTGACTCTCTCAGGCCTCACCCACCGGCCTCCTCCAGGCTTCCAGAGTCCCTGCACCTGCTGGCACACCCATCAGCCAGCAAGAGTGGGCAGCAACCTCCATCAGAGCAGCATCTTACACCATAATCAGCTGTGGGTTTGCATTTTTAAGCCATTTAGTTCAAGCCAATTTTCAGCTAGACAAAATGCAGCAGGGACCCGTACATTTAGCTTTTCTTCACTCTGCCCCGGGTCTTCCCAAGCTTGAATCACTGACATCAGAGCTGTCCCTCATATGTACTCAGCCAGCACAATGGGAATAGAAATCACAATCAGGATTTTTAACAAAAAGGTACCAATAGCCTTGGAAGGATGCACGACTGATATCACTTCAAGAAGCTTTTGCTACCCATTAATCTCAGGCAGGTTTGTTGTAGGCTGAATAACAGCGGCTTAAAGGATGCTCTAATTTAGATTGAGGATTCCTAAAGTCTTCTAGGGTATAGAGGCAGCCCCCTTTTCCATCTAGGAGTTTGTGAAGTCTGGCTCTATGCCTGGAAATTTTCAGGCCAAGAACTGACTTCTTTGGAATATGAAAGCCTGTGGAAACCAGGTTCTCAAATGCTCAGCAATTTCCTTTCATGGCTTTCACTTCTAATAAAATCGTTTCAAGACTAACAAAACAGCACAGTCCATTGGGAATTTCATCCCAAAGTATGCATTTGTTTGATTTTTTCTAGCCAGGAACTTGGAAATCAAGTGGAATCATTGAGGAAAAGGCAGACCAAACACAGAGATATACTGTTGGGCAAAGCAGTAATACTATAACCATGTTACATAAGTACTTAAATTTGAAGAAGAGCATGCCCTTTAGACCAAACAGGTACTCCGCTGCAAAGCTACAAAATGGGATACCTTTCTCCAACCCAGTCTGTAAGCAGAACCCTGTAGAACTGGAGCTCTGACAAGGACCCAGTTCAGCGAACGTCAGAATTGGTTTTGTTAATGTATGAAAGAAATGACCAAACTCACACAGTTCTGTGCTTTCCAGATCTGAACATTACCCTTGCACAAGTCTTTTAGCTTGACACCCATTACTAACAGCACCTGGCTCACACTCACTGTGAAACCATGGCAGTTTCATCCTGCAGGTTTTAAGCCATTGTGTAAACAAGAGCAGAGACCAGGCACTGCCTTCTGCTGCTCCATTTCCCTACCCCTACCACCCCCCTGCCTCCGTTTCTTCCTTTTCTTCCTGTTTATCACTCTCAACCACCTCACCTGAAATCAGATCTCCAAATGGAGAGCTGTGCAAATTTGCTAGCAAGCCTGTGCAAACAAAGTTATTATCTTTTTATGAATGAGGTGTCAGCTGGGTGGGGAAAAGGGTCAGATGGGGAAGGCAGCAGTTTGGAGCAAGGAGAACATCTGTAGTGCAAAAATAAAGTTCCTAAAGCCCTGCCAAAATTGTACTACTCGTCAGCTCACAACTCACCCTGCCATTTCTTCTGGTGCCTTTGAACCAAGCTTCACAGTGAAAATGACCCCAAAATAGGTTTATTTCCATTTGAAAATCATTACCACATTTTAATTTTTGAAGTTGCACTGCAAGCAGCCATGAACCAAGCATAAAAGAAATTTCATATTGGATGTTGTGGAGCATGTTCAGTTACAGAAGGAACAAAAGGGTAAAAACTCAGGGCTAGATTCTCCTCAGCACCTCAGTGTCAGGGGTGCCTATGCTGCGGGGTCTCTGCCCAGAGGTCAGTGAAGGGTGTGGACCTGGCTTTTCCCAGCAGCTTCCCTGCCCAGGGACACTCTGCTGCAGGTGGGAGAGTCAGGGCGAGGCACCGACACTTGCCCTGCCTCTGCTCTGGCACTGACCGGCTGAGCATTTTTCTGCTCATTCCTTTCTTAGCTCGTGCTGGTGCCAAGGAATTCCTCCCAGTTGCTCTAACAACCATTCCCCACACAAAACAGGCAATTGCTGTACTTGTTTAACCCCAAAGACCAACAAAGAAAGCACTCTGTGAATCACAATGGTCAGAGGCAGCTCACTTGGGTCTGATGGGGACATGACAGGTGCCAGGAGCTCACATGCCAGCAGAGGCAGCATCCAGCAAGTCTTTGAATGCTTGGCTGTGATGTATTTTGTGCATGTACCAACCTGCATCTATGGGAATTGGTGTTTGTGTGCTTCTTGATGGAAAAAGCACAGGTGATTGTACACAATTAAACACAGTCCTGCTGTTTGAAATGACCCTGTGATGGAGGCAGACTCACACAGAACAACCTAAGAGAAAAGTAAAAAAGAAAAATTTGCTCACATCCCTGGGTGTGTCCAAGTCCAGCTGTTTGCAGCAAGGCAGCAACATACACCTCACTGCTTGCAGTCTCCCAGTTATGTCAGAGCTGAGCAGCATCCATGGCCTTTTGGCTGATTTTGGTTCCCTTCCCACTGCTGCAGCATTGCAGTGACCCCAGTGAAGTCAGTGTGCTCGTGCCACTCACACAGGTAACACTGCAATGCATACCCAGATCTCTCTGGGAGGGTGTAGGAAAGGCATCCTAAAATCTTGCCGAAGGAAAACAAAACAAAGAGACATGAAATAATGCTTCCCTGCCCTGGGGCAATGGCTGCTGGGCCCAGCCCTGGCAGAGAGGATCATGCACTTTGCTTGGCTACAAACACACTGACAGGCTAGTTTTACACTTATTTCCTGCTGTTAAGTTAGGGCTGCTCCTTAGTTACCAAA